GAGCAGGGCAGGAAGGGTTGATAGGGAACGCGCCAAGCAAAGAGCAACGAGGAACCGCTTTTGGGCATCAACATCGAGGGCGACTGCAGAGACACACGCATGTGGAATCTCGCGTTTTTTTGTCCACTCAAGACGGGACACCCGCAAATCGACCTCGATCGTCCGAACGGCTGTATATGGTACGCGACCTGGTCTTCCGAATGTTGCACGCTGACGAGGAGAGCAAGACCCGGACAACATATTCTATCATGATAACAGTGCACGCAAGGCTACCCACGAACACCGCCGGGGACCAGTTGGGTGGACAGAAAAATCTGCCTTACGTCGAAACTTCCATTAAACGTTGGACAGACAGGGCATGCTTTCTACCGTATAGCAACCATCAACCAAGGAAACTCTCTTCATTGGTTCTTTCTCTCTCTTTCTCTCTCTCTCTCTCTCTCTCTCTCTCTCTCTCCCTCTCTCTAACACTCTAACACTCTAACTCTCTCTCTCTCTCACGTTGTGCCCTTCTCCTCAACGTGTTCAGCCCAGCACAGCCTGCAGAAGCTGTGAGAGCACGGCAACACGGCGGCATCCAGCAGGAGCTCAGAGCACAGCCCGCACATGGCGTCGCGGAGTACCTCCATCACCATGCTCGGCGTTTCGCCCCCACCACCGTCCACCACCCCACCGGCACCGCCAGTCCCCCGCACGCTACCCCCCCCAGCAGTGTCGCCCCCGCCTCCGGCGCGTGCCTTATCGGGACCGATTCCTCTCGTCACCGAAGAGCCGTTGCTAATGGCACGGAGAGTATCCGCCGCATCTAGCGTATCTGCGCGGACGATCTTTGGTCGATTTGTCGCAGGCGCGTCGGGGTTCGACCCACGCCGTCTCTTGGAATTCGTGTTGGGGGAGCCTGCAAGTTTGTGCTCAAATCGATATCTACCGTGCGAGGGGGGGAGGAGTAGATGGCGCGGGGTCTGTTGGACGACGTGGCGTGAATAACCAGGAACCGCTCCAGGTAGATGTAGATGGTTCGTAACAGAGAGAAACAAGATGGATAACAACAAAAATGTGCGGGAGACACGTTTTTGGCTGCCGTCACGGCCCTAGGTTGGAAACAGTTACAGAACTCAACACACGTGGAGGTTCTGATACGGCAGTTTGCATGAACTCTGCTGCGGGGTACCCAGGACTACTATGTACGCGCACTGCACCTGATGCGGCTGCCGGTGCCGCCAAAGCGGGTTCCTACCGGAATGTCGGCCGCGCCTCCGAACTGCACCACATCTCCGTGCCTGAGACGCTGCTCTTGAACCTTAAATTCATTGACGAACACCCCGTTGGTAGACCCCTGCTCTTGCACGAGCAAACCCCAGCAAAACAAGAGAAGAGAGAAAGAGAAGGTCAAGACGCAATCAAATGTTACCTGAGGAAGGGGATAGTTGGCAAGCAAGGCATACTGCCGCCAAGTGCTTTCCACAGGCAATCGACGCTTAACTAAGGAGGCGCATAATTGGTAAGCATGGCATTATGCTGTACAGCCGTCACGTGCTTTACACCGCAATCGTCAGGTGTGAGTCACGGGCGTTCACGTAAAAGAAGAACACCGAGTGTGTATCGTCGAAAAGAAGAACAATACAATAACATGCATCAGAACAATACGCCGAAAGTCACAGCGGCTCCATCGCTCCCTTTCTCACCAGGTCTCGAAGGGTGTAGGTCTTCGGCCCCCGCTTTCCTTTCCCGCAAAAAATCTCGGCGTGTTTCCGTGAAATGGTCTTGGTGGGAGCCGCGTCCAGAGTGACATCACAAGTTTTTGAACTTCGCCCGAGTACCGTCGACTCTCTTCGTACCCACCGAAGCAGCAGCAACAGAGAGAGAACGCCACAAAATAAGGGTGTTGCGTGCCGCAGAAGGCAGCCGGTGTACGTGACAGATAAAAGTACGCCCTCGCAAGAAGGGAGGGGGAAAACACGAAAACACTTCATTAATAATGGCTAAACAGTATAGTGCGTTCACGTGGATTTGACTTTGTCGCGCTGGCTCTCCTTGCGAAGTTTAAAAAAAAAAAAAACGCGTGTGTTCTTGAGGATAGGGTACGATCACCTAGATAACTGGATGATTTCAGGGACATTGTAGTCCTCCGTGGACGCCACGAGCACCAGCTTCGCTCCTGCCCGACATGGAACGCGGCAATGTCGGGGGACGACCGTACAACAAGCGTTTCCAGTTTCCAGCAGAGAGGGGAGTCATGCACGAAACAGCAGAGTAGGGAGGAGGTGTTCGACGTGCAAGTAACGTGGGGGGGCGCGATCGAGTTTTGTTACCGCGTCACCGACTGCAGGACATAACAACGAGCAAGTGATCGTAGTACAAGGGATGCAGTGGTGTATTGACAGACAATTGTAGTCCTCTGTCCACCTTCTTTGTACGTGCAGCAACAGCGGCAGCGTTGATAGAACCATCTCTCATATCTCCGTGAATATCCAACATCCAAAAAACGCTGCAGCGGGCAAGGGCAAGGATCACTCACCAGGAGAAGCCATGGCTAACACAGGAGAGAAAGACAGACAGAATCACGGGACCTCGCCACTAGCCTGATGTGTCGGTGTTATGGAATACGTCTGCTGCGTTGCCGCTGGTGCAGTGTGCAAGAGAGTGTAAGCAGTGTGTGCGGCCGACCAGCGACAGATAGAATTGAGCTAGAGGAGTTCATATGATGCAACATCCGACCGGGGAAGATTCGATGTTTAAGACTAATATCAAGATAATTGTTTTCGCTTGTCCCCTCTGTTTGCTGAACCCTGGTTTTTGAAAGTTTTTGAAAAAACGCCGTACGTCTGATTGAGCTCGCGCGCTTGATGTTTCACACCTGTGTTCGGCGTCGTGTACACGAGGAGTTGCCACAGCGGGGAGCTAGCTGTTAGTGAAGGGCTAGCTAATGGAAATGCAAAGACTATTCAGTAAGCCAACCTCGACTCGGCCAGGGTTTACCTCGGAACTACAGCAGCAGCACGTGCTGCATTGAGACAGCAGGGGCAAAGAGACAGCAGCAGCGGTAACAGTCGGCTAAGCATCAAACAGGATGCCTCTAGCATCGGGTGCCCGCAGGGCACCGGAGCCGGATGGCATCGACTTCACGGTGTCTTCATCTCTCCCTCCAATGGTTGCGGGGAGCGTGGCTGGAGAGATGGAGCTCTCGGTACCGTATCTCTACCCCAAGCCTGGTGTGCTGTGTTCGACGAGATATCTTGGAGACGGGCAAAGCGAGCCGATGTTCGTCGTGAGGATGCAGTGGTGGGGTGACAGTGGGCCTGGCACCGTGTTCAAGCCAGGGCTCCTGCGTGGGCGGGACGAAGATGGGGAGAGGGCTCGCAGGGTGCAGTTGTCCAAGGCTACTTGTGCTCTGTTTCCTGTGCGGTGCGCGCTGGACGGGCTCTTGACGTACCTGACCGACATGGTGAGACAGAGTCAGACCCCGATATCAGGTTCAAACGTTCAAACGTTCAAGCTTGGTGATGGGTGCAGTGGCTGCAGACTGCAGATGCCATTTTGGAGTTTGGCATTGGTTTGCCCCGCTAATTGATGGCCATGCTCCCTGTGTGAGGCCGGCACTGGGAGTTTATTTGTTTTGTAATGTATGTATCCCTGCTGCGGGTCTAGACTGCAAAGGGTTATGTGTACTGGAGACAACATGTACTTCGAAGTACATATGCATATATGCATACAGCAGTAGACCGGTACAAATTTGCAGGAAGAATCCGAACTACAACTACAGCAGTAGAGTACAGCAGTAGAGCCTTGATACTTGTTAATTAAGGAATAATAAATACACACACAGAAAGAATATCCATTCGAGATATACCCACAGTCGAACGGGATGTGGTAGAGTCTTTTCAGTGAGTGGAGGAAAACCGGCTGGGTACTGGACTTATTTCGAGTCTTTTTAAGTACTTGTGTACCACCTCGGTGTGTTCATGGCCGTTCCACCGCTACTCGCCTATGCAACACGCAGATTCAGTCCACACGAGCATAGAAACAGTAGCCACTCGCATCGTGTGCCATCTTCCGTGGTGTAATCTACATCCCTCCCGCCGCCCTCGTCCACCGTGCATTGCTGTACAATACCGTTCATCAACCCAGGGCAGCATCGTCCTCGACGTGCTCGTGCACGAGGGCGACCCTAGCGGAGGAGCCCGACACGCCGGCCGCTGCGTCGTCCCCGTCGGCGGCAGCAGTTGGGGCGGGCACGGCCAGAGGGAGAGCCGCGTCGTGGCCGAGGGCTACTTCCCGGTGCTCTCGCTCCGCGACGGCAGGTACGCCGGGGACCTCGGGGTCTGCCTTCGGGCGTGCCTCGGTCGCAGCAGCAAGGTTCGAACCGTGCTCGCCGTGGCCAAGATGGCCACCACCACCGCTGACGAGTCGAGCCCGGCAGGAGAAGGGGGGAGAAGAATCGCGGATGGTGGGACGCCTTTCGCGGACCGAAGTGGCTCTACTGCGGCTGGACATGAGGAGGTGGACGCGGGGCGTAGAAGCGGACTCGGATTCCGGCGCTCAGGCGAGGCTTACGTCGGGCTCCCCGAGCGAGCGTCGTTCGACAGCGCTGATCTCACTAACGGTTGGAGCGAGGCCCCTCCCCCTGGTGATGCTGCCACCACCGAAAGGCTCGCTCGCGATTCAGCTCCGCTGTCATCCTTCCAGCTCAACGAGGCTCTAGCAAAATTCGACGCGTCGGACACTCTGCCGATATGGCCAACGCCGAGGGGTTCTCTCTACCGCCCGCCTGAGGCTCTCGGGCAGGCTCTGTCGGCGCCAGCCATTGGTCAGCACCAGGCCAACAGAGGGAGGCCTGCTGGTGCCGGCGCTAACAACGCTGGCCCACGAAGAAAGGCCTCCCCGACTTCCAAGACGGTCGGCGGCAGATTAACGAGGAGCCCGCCCGCCCGCGTTGGCGTAGCGCTCACCGGAACCACGAGAGTTGCAAGCGTTGTCGGCGGGGCGCCTCCGGAGCGCAAGACGGGAGATTTGAGGCCAAGCGTTTCGCCCGAGCGACAAGCACCGGAGCCTGCTACCGGGACCGACTTGGATCGAGCTTCTGTTTCTCTCGGTGACGGTCGTGGCGGACGTCGCGATGAAACCCCTGCGCCGCCGTCGCAAGGTCCGCCGCCTCCTTCAGCGGCGGCTGCACCGGCGGGCTCTGCAGCAAGGGAGGACGGCGCCGGGGGCCTCTCTGAGCTGCTCAACCGTGGGAAGGAGCTCCGCGACAAGATGGCCCTGGCGGCCGCGGGGTCGAACGATAGGGCGCCGCCGGCGTCGCCGTCGTCGAGCGGTCTCGCGACGCTCACGGCGCAGCCCGGCCTGGTGAGCGGGGCACCCCTCGACTCGTCCTTGAGGGACGACATCGAGGGCATCTTCGACACGCTCTCGGACGTCGGGCAGGGTGTCGACGTGTCGGTGCGTGACCCAGAAACAAGGGGCGGCGAGAGCCGCGTCGTCGACCTCCTGCTGTCTGCCGCCGGCCCGCCGCCGGCATCCCTGGCCTTTCCTGCGCTGGCGGCAATGGAGCGGCGGCGCGCCGACTCGCTCGCCCGCGTCCGCTTCCTGCGGATCCGGCTGTCGCGCCTGGTGATGTTCGGGTCCATGACCTCCGCGGGGGAGGGCCATGGCTGGCAGCTCCGTTTCCGTCTGCCTGCGTTCGCGGCACCTCCCGGGCGGGGTAGCACCGCCGCTGCCGGGCGCCGTGCCAGTGTTGCCCAGGCATCGAAAGGAGGAAGCGCTCGAAACGCGAGGGTGGTTTCGGTGCCCGTCCCGCCGAGAGTGTCTCCCTCGACTCTCGGGAAAGGCAAGGCGGCGGCGGCCGTTCGAAGAGGCAGGTCTACGGCGACCGGGACGACGACGAAGACGACGACGACGACGTCCAGGAGCGCGGCGTCGGTCCTGAGAGTACGCCGGGGGTTCGGGGCCTGCGACTTGGTGGTCGGGGAGACCTCGCTCCTGGAGGAGCTGGTGTGCGCCGTGGATGTCGACGACACCTGCGTCGCCCAGTGGATGGACACGGCGGTGGAGTTCCTCCTAGTCGACGGCAGAACGGACGGGGCCCCGCGACCGCGGCAACCTGGCAAGAACCACAACCACCCCCACCTGCGCAAGAAGCAGCGCTCCTCGACGGTCGGACCCGGCGATCGGGTGGCGGCGGTGGCCACCTTCCCGCTGAGAGACCTCGTCCTCTCGGCGGACCTGGGCGTGGCGGCCACGCTGGACCTGATCGAGGTGTCGGACTTCTGGGCGGCGGAGGACGCCCGGGCCGCGGCGGCCGGCCGCACGGGGAGGGGAGGTCGCCCGTTGCGGAACCCCTACCGGAGCGATGAGGGGGGCGGTGGCGCCAGGCCACTGGTGCTGGGCGACCGCGCCGTGGGCGCGCTGGCGATCGCGCTGGAGCTGGTGCCGGGCGAGCCGGACGTGTCCCCGGAACACAGCCGCCCGGAAGTGGAGCGCTGGACGAAGGGCTCGCGGCAGCAAGGCGCAGCGGCAGCAGCGACAGCAGCAGCAGAGGCGGAAGGGCTGGAGGAGTCAGCCGAAGAGGAACACCATGGGGTGATCAGGACGGAAGCGAGCTCGCCGCCGCCGCTTCCCGCCGGAGGGGTGAGAATCCTGCGGGAACCGTCGGCCGACGGGCGGGACGGTACCTTCGAGGCAGGGGGGGAGGCTTGTAGTGCGGCGGTAGAGCCAGGGGGCTGGGCAGAAGGAAGCCCGGGTGGGGAGAAGCACGAGCCTAGCGGTAGTCTCACCGCATCCATGCCGCCGGACTTGGATGGGGACGGGGACTGGAAGGAAGCCAGTGGGGTTGTCGCCGTTGGCCCGCTCGACACGAGCTTGGCGGTGGTGCTAAGGATTGGCGACCTGACGCTTGCCCCCCCGCTTGGCCCCGGAGCTGAGCAAGTGCGAGTCGCGTACTCCTTCACCCAGGTGCTCTTCTTCCTCTTGCCTCGCCAGGATAATAGTGATGTCTGAAAACCTTCCCCGCTAAGGCCGTAGTATGTACGGCGAAACCACCCGATCCTCCCTGTTTCATTTCTGTTTTGTGTCAAGCGCATTTGTAGGACAACACCCCCCCAACAAAGCTGTTCCACGATGCCGACCCCCGCCGCCACACCGCTTGCTCGGAACCAGGTGGAAGGGCTCACGCCAACCGTGACGCATCGCTCCGTTCGAGGCCTCCCGAGCGGAGACGGTGGAGCGCAGCAGCATTTCCAGCGGTTCGCTTTCAACCACCAGGAGGTCTTCCCCGCTCCGACCGAAAGCAGCGCTTGGCGCCTAGGAGGAGCAGGTGCGAACAGGGTGTTCGAAGTCTGGGGGTGCTCGGCGACAGGGCCGGAGAGCGGCAGCAGCGGCGGCCGTCCGGGGCAAGCAGAGGCGTTGCTGGGTCTGGCCAAGGTCTACCTTCGCCCGTTCGCGGCGTTTGAGGGCCGCACCGGGGAGTCGGGGCTCGCCGTGGGTGCCGACGGCCCCGTCTCCGTTGTCGATCCGTTCTCCGGCAAGGCGGTGGGGGACCTACACCTGCTCCTGGCCTTGGGTGCCTCTCCGACGATAGCTGCGCTTGCTGGCAAAGGGGGGGACGCGGAGGCGGGTAACGGCGCGATGGGAGACCCCCCCACCCTGGGAGGCGGGAGCAACGCCGAGGGCGGGAGGGAGACCGGGGAGGAGAAGGGGGATCATGAGCTGGAAGACGAGGGGGGGGCGGGGTCGCGAGGAGGGGCGGCAGGTGGCGCTGAAGGGGAGGGCGGTGGTGGCGTGGCCCATGCGGCGGAGCCTCCGGCGCTAGACGATTCCGTGGCAGGTGAGGACTCAGATGTGCCCGTAGAGGGGGGCGGGAAAGGAGAAGGCATCTGTGGCGATCGTTGTTGCCTCTTGCTTTCGGTCGATGTCTCTAAAAGTTGCCAGGGGGAACGCTCGCATGACAATCGTGCTTTTTATGAATTGTGCTCGGGGACAGATCCGCAAGCAGCTGGCGTCGTGCGACCGCCCCGTTTTGGTGGTTGAAGCGATGGGGTTCTTTCTGTTTGGCGTACGCACGCGTCCTGGGTCTATGTTCCCTGCAGGGGTGATCCCCCCCCCCACGCTCAGTTGCACGCTCCTCGAGAGCGGGATGATGATACTCACATTGGTGGTTGGACTGCGCAGCCACAAGGGTATAGCGTACAGTGCTCAGACGTGCTTCCTTCCCCCCTGCACGAGAACGGCCCAGACAACATGTCTGAATGCCTCTGAGGCAACGCGTGGCACTGCTCTTGTCTTCGCTGGTGTGACCCATTTTTTTCCGGGTTGACGGTACGACCGTTCTCTGGAACGCTCTCTTGACACGTCCCATCCCATCTAATTCGCTGTTGTTTGATTGTCTTCGGCAGAGCTGTCGATGCTCCTGAACCCCGGTCGGGTCGAGGGGCCCAAGGCTAGCCCAGCGCGTTCTAGCGGTGGCTTTACGGGCCTCGTACGGCACGTCGTTGAACTGTCGGCGGTGGGCGAGCTACCCGTAGTGGTTGGTGACGGAATTGCTGTGGGAGGGGAGGGCGCGCAGGAGCCGGTGGGGTGTGCCATCGAGTACGTGCTGCCTTCGAGCCAGGTGAGTCGGAGAGATTCGGCGCAGGTTTTAGGTCAAAGTGGCACAGGTAGGAAGTTGTCCCACCGTGTTTGTGGCAGAAGTCACGTTTTAGCGTATTGTACGAATGGTTACTCGGTGACTATTGGAGTGTCTCGTTGAGTTGGTCTCTCTTCTGTTGGCGTGTTTTTGAGAGAATGGTGATTGCCCAAAGGATAAACCAATGACACGAGAATTCGCGGGGATGTCGTTGGATTTGTATTTTGTCAACATTGTAGGGCGACCTTTCTACAGCTTGCCTCTGTTGCAGGGGTCAGTAGACCCAAACTTCCACGGAATGGTTATCATGACAAAATCCGCCACGTGTCAGAGCGTACGTAACACACATGAAGGAAAACGTGTGCAGGAGCCTCCTAAGGGGCGGACGCACCTTTAGCACTAACCACCATCGTGTCGCTTCCGCGCCGCTGTTCGCTCCGCCGCTACTTTCGCCCACGCTCACCACGGCACCCCCGTTCTCAGACTTGCCTTGACCTGGACATCGACGGCACGGACACCCCCCCCACCACCGCCGACCAAACCCACGAGCTGTGGTGGGACGCCGATAGCGGCATCCTCAACAGCCGCGCGAGGCACACCGTCAAGGTTCCCGGAGGTATCCTGGACAAACCGGCGGCCCCGGGCTCCGCAGGAAGCACCGGCGGCGGAGCCGGCCAAAGCAGCGGCGACGCCGGCACCGCCGCGGTTGCGACGACGACCGAGGGCGGGCCGCTGAACAACCTCCTTGACTGCATGTTCGGGCATGAGGATGTGGTTCTGTCGCTTTTTGCGGGTGTTGCCGCCGCCGGAACAGGAGGAGCGCGGCCTGAAGCTCCTTGGGGCGACGGGGGCCGTGGAAGGGTGGGGGAGAGCGTCGCGACGAGCAAGAGGCAAGGGGGCCGTTCCTTGATCGGAAAGGCGGTGCTCCGGCGCGCGGATTTGTTGCCGCTGGTGCGGCGGACCTCGGCGCGAGCCGTCCTCCGGCTGCCGATCGAGCCGGCAGACGACACCGGCGAGGGTGTGCTGCTGGCGGCGCCCGAAGCGTTGCCGCTGTCGGTGTCCTACCGGCGGGAGCCGTCCGCGGTGGCGAGGAGAAAGTCTCGGGGACGTTGCGGGCGCCGAGAGGCGCCGAGTGAGGAATCTCACCAGGGTTTGGACGTATCGTGCGATGCGGAGGTCGCCGGTCTTCCCTCGATAGCAGACCTTGGTAAGGAGGAGGCAGAAGGGCGCGGCGAGTGCGAGGCATCGGGGGTACGGGGACACGACGCATCGCCAGGCGCGGTCTCGTCGTCGTCGCCCCCTCACGGTGCCGCCAGCTCGCCTGAGGAAGGCTTTGGCGGTTCGGGCGACGGCGGTGGTTATCCCGACTCCTGCGAGAGTGCTACCGGGCCTCTCGCGCGCCGGACTTCCAGAACCGAGCATCTGCTCCCGGCCCGCACAAAGCTGTGCGTTCACGTGGATAGCGTACGCTTGACGAGCGGCGTTGGCGATGTGGGGGGGGAAGAACAAGTTCTACTGTGGGTAAGCTTTGATTTCCCGGGACCCGAGAGCGGCGGGCGGCCGGAAAGAAAACGAGGAGGCGTGTACGTGTGGAAGCCGGGGGACGAGAAGGAGGAGAGGCGTCGAGAGGTCCAGTGGTCGCCGGCGGTTGTGGCGGCTCGGCAAGAGGAACGTGATCTGGTCGCGCTGTTGCAGTGGAGACTCGAGGTAGGGATGCTGCTGTGGCCTTGGTTCGTTTGAGGGTTTCCCTGTCGGTGTCGGCTTCGGCAGATGAGATGAGAGCTAGGCTAGACTTTCGGCGGTGTTTTTGCTGGGACGCCTAGTTTGTACGCTGGGTGGGTAGGGAGATTGGAAGCAGATTCGTAGCTCGTGGACAAGCCGCGATCAAGCATCGCAACAGCTTTCTGACGGTCACTCAATTTTCTTTTATCCTCCTTTCCCTTCTCCGACCCCCTCTCTATTTTCCGTTTCTGTTGGTCAGCTACCGGTGACCATAGACGCGGCCTTTGTCGAGTTTGTAAACACGCAGTCCCTGGAGCTTCGCGTTTGGAGCGGAAATCGAGAAGACTGGCCAGCAGGCGGGAGCCCCTGTGGGGTGGCCAAGGTCGCTCTCCGCTCGCTTCTCACTACGCTTGGCGGGGTCGGGGGAGACGCGGCTGTCATCACGCCGGGGGAGGGTGTTGTCGGCGGCAACGTCGCCGCTCGCCTTTTCTTCAAGCACCGCGGCCTTGGATCAGGCGACGACGGTACCAAGCGTACAGTAGAATTGCCAGGGGCGGGTACTCACAGGGCCGACGAAGAGGAGGCGCGGGGGGGGATAGGTGCGAGGCGACGGCTGCCGGTGTCCTTTCGAGAAGGAGTCGAGGTGCTCGGCGAAGAACGGGGCGCCCGAACCGGTGCCGGTTCCCCCGCACAAGGACCCGCTGCTGGCGCGGCGGTCGCGGCCGCGACGACGACGGCGACGACGACTCCCAGACAAGCCTCTCCGGACAAGTCTCTACGAACTCCTCCGCCGAGAGGAGCACCAGAAGAACGACGAGCGGCGGCGTCGGACTCGCCGTCTGTGGTGGTCAAGGAGAGCAACGTACTCAGGGTCTGCGTGGAGCGGGCGATGCGCCTCGAGGCTATCCCGGCAGCAGCAGCAGCAAAAACGCTGTCTGGAGATCCCGAGACGGTGGGATGCGCTGCTCTGCCTCCCGACGCGGTCCTGCCGCCGCCGCCGCCATCGCCGCCGTCCACGTACGTGACCCTCCGCTGGGAGGAGGAAGGCAAGCCGCCCCTGAGGTCGCCGCTCCTCTCAGGCCCAGCGGCGGCGTCGGGAGAGGCGGGTGCTGCCGAGGGCGAGGAGGAGGTGAGTTTCTTGCCGCCGGTGTGTTGGCGTTGGGGTACGGTAGAGTCGCCCTGGTGGCTGTCGGGAGATAGACAAAAGCGGAGTGGGTATACCCACCTTTCGATTTTTCTTAACCAAATTTATATTGTATCCACAGATAAAGAGTCCGGGATACAAAAAAACAAAAAGGGATTCATGGCTTTTTCAGACAAAATAAAGGATCCGAGAAAAACACCCTCGTGGCCACCGCCGGTCCAACTACTCCATCTCTCATTCTGACGCCTGGGCAGCATGGACAACAGTCTCGTACGTGCTCTCCCAAAAATCCCAATAAAATATTGAGGACACCATCCTCCCCAGCTCCCCTGACATCCCTGCACCCCTCGGTTTTTTGTTTACAACAGAGCGCGCTAACCGCCGACGGAGAAGTGATCACCCCGATCGTGGAGACCTCCTCCAACCCGGTCTTCAACCACGTCGCGCGGCTGCGCCTGGTGGATCGCGACGCGTGGGATCGTGTGTGCGGACCGTCGGCGGCGCTGGTGTTCCGAGTCTGGCGCCGCGCGCGCTGCGAGTGGTGGGAGGCCGCCCCGCGGGCTCCGAGCAACGGCGGCGGCAGCGGCGGCTATGCCGAGCACCAGCCGAGCTTCGCGCCCGATGACAAGGGGTCGGTCGTCGCTGCCGGGTCGAGGTTCGGCGACAAGCTGATCGGGTCTGCGGTGGTGGGGCTCGAGGTGCTGAGGGGAAAGGTCCACGCTCCGGATGGGCTCGGCCTGCGCGAGATCGACGGGTGGTATCACGTGCTCGACGACATGCAGCGGCCGCGCGGACAGATCAAGGTGAGAGAGAGAGGAAAGAACCGGAGGCTTCTCTCGCGACCCAGCTTCGGATTTGGGGATTTTAGGGTGCTCTGTGCCTCGCGCCGACTCGTGTGGCAAGGGTTCGTTCGCTGGGCTGGTGATTTTGCCAATAACAAAGTCAAACGCGGAAGGCCAAGTGGACGGTCGGTCTACTTTTACTTCCCACACCTCCTAAGGCACGTCCCACATGTTCCAGTTTTGGTCCACCTTTGGACACGACCTCCAAGGACAATAACCGCACCTAACCTTGTTTGTCACCCCCCGCGTCCCCTACCCTACCTCCCAACAAGGTGCGAGTTTGCCCGCAACCTCCTTCATCGTCAGCAGCACATCTAGCCCCGGAGCCCCCGCCGGCGTTTCCCGAAGTTCCGCCCGGTGTTGGCACGGGACACGAGACGCTCGGTCTCCCGGCCACGTTCGGTCCTTCGCCGGCAGCCGAGTCCAGCGGTACCGGGAACGATGGTGGCGTTGAGGACGCCGATGGCGACGTTGAGGACGCCCCGCCGTCACCGCCGCTACACGACACCCAAGCCCACCTCCGCAGCGTCCACGCCCTGCTCGATTCCCTTCCCGACGAGTTCCGCTCGTCGTCGCGACCGCGGCAGCCGTTGCCGACGTCTTCGGCGGGGAGAGCAGGCGTCGGGCTGGGGCTCCCCTCGCTAAGCGAAGAGCCACCGCCGCCGCCGCCGCCAAGCGTCAATGCGTCCCCACCAGTACCACCGCAATCTTCTGGCCGTGCGGCGTCGGGGGCAGCGAGGCAGCACGGCGGTTGCGAGCCGACCGGCGGCATTCCGGAGCTCCGCCGAATGCTGTCGAGCCTGGATAAGGTCGATCGGAGGCTTTTCGCGCTCGGCGACGACGACGACGACCCTCAGAGCAGCGGCGGATCGGCCGATGTCGAGTTCGGGTCGGAGGGGCGGGGGAGGGCGGGCGGAGGCGGGCCAGCAGTCGGCGGAGCCCCCGATATGAAAGGATCAACTTCGGAAGCGAAGGCTGGAGCGCCACCCGCGGATACCGTCGTGTCAACGGGAAGGAGACACGGCACGGACCACCATCTCGCCATTTCCAGGCTACAGGAGGCATGGCGGGCCCGATCCAGAAGAAGGCGGGAGGCCGCGGAGGCGGAGGCGCGGCGGCGGGCTTACGCCCTGCGCCGGAAGCGCAGGGAGAGCGCCGCCGTCGCGATACAGAGGGCCCACCGACGGGCGCAGGCGAGACATCGCGCCCGAGCGGCCGCCGAGGAGAGGCGGCGCTGGGAAGACCGTCGTCGGCGGCGATCGGCCGCGTGCGCCGTGCTTGAGAGAGCCTGGAGGGCCTTCGACTCGCGTCGAAGGGCGGCGCGCGAGGTTGCCGAAGCGCGCGCGCGGGCAGCTGCGGCGGTGGCGGCGGCGGAAGCGACAGCGCGAAAGTCTGAGCAGACCGCGCGCGGAGCCGTGCTCATACAGGCGGTGTGGCGCGGAGTGTCAGCGAGAGCTGCGACCGCGCGTCGGATTGACGCTTCTCGAGAGCGATTGCGTGCAGCGGCGGCGGCAAGCAGAGTACCACCAGCGGAGCGAGAAGCATCATCGCCGCACCGCCGAGTTGCGGGGGGCATCGCGGTGGAGCCGCGCCCCGCGCCTCCGTCGACGTTCTACAACCAGCTGTCCCAAGACCCGAGGAGGGGCCATCGGCTGCAGCTGCCGGAAGCTCACCTAGCGGCCCTGCCGCTTTCGCGCGGGCTGCCCCCCCCGTTCGCTCGATCGCGGGCCGCTTCTAGCTCGTCAGCGGCTAGAGACGACGGAAGCCGGGCAGAAGAAGAAGCGCGTGCGGACACACGGCCACCAGAGCGCCTTGAGCCTCGGAGGCTGGCGCGGTCCGCCGGCGCCGGACGACCGCCGAGGTTCGCAGACCAGGAGACGGCGAGGATCGCCCGAATCATGAAGGGAAACCTGCAGCACTGGGCGAGCGCGCGTTCGTCCTCTTCCAGCGACGAGCTCAACCTGTAGGGATACCAATCAACCTTCAAGACATTTGTGGATACTGATTTGCACTGACTGCTGTTTTCGTAAGGGAAAGTGGGCGATGTTAACCAACCGTGGAGCAATGCTAAGGTGTGGGTGAAAGCCTGGCTGGGCGGTGGGCGGTATCGAATGAATCCCTCGTTGGAGATGCGCAGGACACCTACACATAGAATCGGTTTCTTCGAGTCGAACCCTTATTGCGGCGAGGTTGAGAGTTGAGCTCTCACCGAGGGGGGGAGGGGGGGGGGGGGTCTTCCTCGCTGTTTTATTTAGCCTACATGACGCTGACATGCAGGTGAAAGCTTTTGCTTGCTTGCTCGTTGTATATACTTGAGCGAAGGCACTGATTGGTGGACCCTCGTTCTGGCGTCAATAAAACTGAAGGGGGCAGGGGGCCTGCAGAGGACACGTAATGCGAGACCCCCGCCGGGTGATCGGGGACCTTCGGCTACGGACGCGAGGCCGCATGTGGCAGGAACAAAGCAGCAATCAATGCGACGAATGGAAATTTAAAAATGTCGCTTTGTTGAATCATCCATCCCGGCTGAGGGATAAGCAACCCCCTCTCATAATATATTATAAATCCAGAGCTCACGGCTATCATAAAAGTACGTACGCACAACGCACCGAGCAACGAAGGGCACATCAAAACAAAGTGGCAGCGGATATTCTACCCACTGCACGGGGGTGCTGTCTGTGGAGGAGAAACAGCCTGTCCTCCATTCTACAGAATAATATTATTCTCTGCGGGTGCCCCTGATGCCGCTAATATAATAAATATAACTGCTCGCTCACGGGTATCCCGTCTACGCTACTACTACTACTGTTGTTGCTGCCGAATGCGACTCAGAAGAGATCTCTGTTCTTCTCAGAAGCCAGAAGGGATGTCTACTTTTACGTGTACTTAAAATCATACCCTCCTTACCACCATAGGGGAACTTCCCAGCAGAACCCACCAAAAAAAAAACAAGAAAATGTAAAATGTACTGAGGGGCGTTTTATACAGCAGCTATGCATTTCGCTTCCAAATTTCTGGAAAAAAAACGGAAATCGAAAATTTTGGAAATCTGGAAAGTCGCAAGTTGAAAATTTGGAAAATCTGGAAAAAAAAAACGCCTTGCATACAAGAACGCCCCTTCCCTCAAGAACGCAACCTACTCGTAACCTGTATTTGTGGCGTGGGACACGCACACGAGAGGTTGCGTCGTGGTTCCTGCTGTTGACAAGGAAGAGCGCTCGTGGAAAAACGGAACATTCACAAATCACAAATCCAAACAACTGCTCCCAACTGCTCTACTAGCCACCGCGCCGCAACGATCGATCCTAACTTTAGTAGCAGCAGCGCTCAGGCAGCCTGCTTCGGGCTTTCACCGAACGATCGATGTGATATCAACCAGAAAAAACATGGATGGATATCTCGTCAAGCGAAGCCTCCTCGAGCCTTGCCCGCCAGAAACACCCACTGCTGTGTACAACAGAATTGAGCACACCACCATTTGCTGCGCCCACCGTACAGACAAACCCGCCGAATAATCGCCATCTAAAACTAACTGCAAAAGAGGGGGGGGGGGGGGATGGTTGGCCACAGCAAATTTCTAGATGCTGTTGCCGCTGCGGGTAGGCAGGCGTGGAAGGGCCACACATACATACGATCCTCTCTCCCTCCCTCTCTCTACCATGCCCTACGTTCTTAAGAATCCAAAATATCATCGCAAGTATCAAGTACCCTGCCACTAAGGACAACTAGACAACGCGACAGAGACACAGGCACCACCTGTGGCACGTGCGTTCGCTCATGCCAACGCTGAACAAACACCATATTCAACGCCCAAAAGGCTAGCGGCAAGGACGGGGCATCTACAGTATCGGCCGAACACCCATCATGTACATGATCGACAACCCTCTCGTCCTTAGCCCACGCCAGCCAATTTAGATACCATCCCAAATACACACACTGGTACGTACAATGGGAACTCCGCGCCGAAAACGTTGTTCTACAGCAGGCCATAGGGATACTACTGCTGTTGTTGTCGTGTGCGCAACTGTTTACTCTTTTTCTACGTTTTCCGAGGTGTACAGCAGTAACAAGGACATTTCCTGCGGTGGGCGCTTATCTCGCAAGAGCATAGGCGCCTTACTTATCGTTCGTTCTAGAGAGGAGAGAGGAGAGAGGAGAGAGAGGTGGCCGGCATGTGCCTCGTGTGGCCACCCATCCGCGAAGACAAAGAAGGACTCCATCGGAATGCTCAAACACGAAAGCAGCACGGAACGCGGAAAAGTTGACATCTAAAAAGGGTAACCCCCACCCCACCGGTTTCCCTGTTGAGCCGAAAGCAGCAGCACGGGATGGGGAATCGGCCTGGGGGGGGCATGACCATGCCACTAACGAGGAGTCTTCGGAGAAATTTCTCAACTATCCTTTCGGTGAAGAAGTAGACTTCAGAGCGGCCGATCATCCCTATTGTAGCGCCTAGCACTCTCTGTTGCAAACGTAAAAGCTAAAAAAAACACAAGCAAGTGAGGCTGCCTCGCGTGCCAAGCGTCTAACGCACAACCGCGAGTACCTACACCACACCCCCGGGGCCCCCTTCCTGTCCTTACTCACATGTTCTAAAAGTTTGCTCACGCACAAAGACGCAAAAAACACGAATGTGTGATATCAACCATACCCTTCACAACCGATCAAGTGCAACTCTTCTATCCAACAGAGTGCGCCCAGCTTGACACTGGGTGGGGTGGACGGTTCTCGATACGATGCCTTTGTTCTGCTCCCCCAATCCCGTTTCCGGAGAAAAAAGGCGTGCTACCATCAGAAAAGCAATAAGCGATCAAAACCAATGGAAAACCCCGTAGAAGTCATTGTGCACCGCGTCAAAAAGTACAGAACAGACGGCGCGAAGCTTCGGCAAAGACCAAGATAAATACAGGAGGAATCGAGTACAATCGAACCGATCCCCGTTTATTCTCCCCCCCGGCTTGTGGGCCACCCTCCCACAGGAAACCTTCTACCGCATGGCAGAAACCATAGCCATAGCGTGGACGAGAACAAGGGGTGTTAATTCTTCGTCATCAAGGCGTGATACTACAAGTCTCAACAGACAGAAACCGACAGAGAGAGGTGCTGGTAAAAAATCCGAAGCGTGAAGCAACGGAGCCGCCACCGATTTTGGGAGGACTACAACCAGGAGGGCGCAAGACCTGCCAATAGAACTACGGCAAGGCGACGCGACAAAAAACAGAAACAAACCCCAGGCAGCGACTACGGCAACAACAGCAACAGGCTATCGCAGCGAAAAAATCAAAATAAGCACGGTAGAGCACGTCAAGTCCTCAGCCGCGATGCCAGGCACAGGCCGACGCCACCCAAAAGACGCCATCCCCTCCCGCCTCCCGCCCACAAAGAAAATACGGATCAACCAAAGAGGGGATTTCTCTTCCCGCCTACCTACCCACCTACCTACCTACGTACCTTACTAGCCCAGGCGGAGGGCTACGACCAGGGTGGTGACGACAACAGCCGCGGCGGCGGGCGCAAAGCCTGCTGCTGCTGCTGCTGTCGTAGTCATGAAGCGTGATGATGACGCCGCGCTCGTCGATAGTGTGTCCACAAGCACCTCCTGCAGCAGCAGCAGCAGCAGCAGACGCCCATTCGAGGGGAAAGATAACGGGAGTGACATCAGAACCAGTCGTGCGTGCGACCCCGCACACGGCAGCAAAGGCGTGTAAAAGTAAAAGTATCGCAAGCAGTGAGTGCGCCTGTCTAGCCGGCGGCGTCTTGTGCTCATCGCCCCGTGTGCCATTCATCTTGCCCATGGTGAACAATGTAGACTGACGGTAATCTTGCTCTTTCTTTCGTGTCATGTACTGTGGGTGGAGTTCCATCTTCAAGGTAGGAGGGTGTTGCAGCTCTGTTCATGAGCGTGCGTGGTCAGTCCAGACCAACACGCTAATGTCCATGCTGTCTGGCATCTCTCACTCCCCCGCATAATTTAGCTTGATCGGAACGGAGTGGGGCTGCTGCTGTGCGGTGTTTTCGATCTTCGAAACACAAAGCTTGACCCGTCGCCACGATGGTGGCTCTCTACGAAACACCGCTCCGTTTCGAAAATAGGAATCATTGGAATATTAACATCTGTATCGTATCGTAATGGCCCCTTGTATGTCCAAACAGTGGTAGATAGTTACAGTGATTAGCCGTCGTTCCCGTAGACGCTGATGTGTTCTGCGACGACCCTTATCAGCGACGCCCGCTGTCTAGCCTTAAAACCTCCATCCGGCGGCTACTTGTAGTCTACCCCGCTCTACCCTTGTCCCGCACCTGGTACCAGTTGACGGTGTCTTCAATCGAGTAGACCTCGCTGTCCGTCTCGTCGACTGCTTGTCCTCCGAAGATGAAGATGCGGCCATCGGTCTCCACAGTGGCGGCGCAATAGCGCAGGCGCTTGTAGGGGAGGTCGAACAGCTCCCCGGAGTCGGTCCAGCAGTCGGTTGAGGGGTCGTACCACTGAGGAAAAGACGACAGCACCGGTGATAACCACAACAACAGCAGCAACAAGAACATCAACAACAGCGATGACAATAACAAAGATATACTGTCGCTACAACGAGCGACAGCTGATAGATGTAACTGTCGTCAGACGTGTGCGACCACGGGCGGAAAGAGAGTGCAAACACCACACACTTGAACTACTACACCTACCTGCTGTGCGCTGGTGTGAGAGCCGTGGCAACGTTATCTTTCACCTACCGGTTAACCCCCCCCCCCCCCGTCCCCCCCCCCCGTCTATCGAACCCACCCCTTTTCCAAGACCCCGACGCGATCTCGGCATTTGGGGAGCTGTTCTGGAGCTCGAAGCTCGCCCACATCTCCACGATGGACCTGTGCGTGCTGAGCACGGTGATCATCGACCCCATCCGAGAGGACATGCGTCGGAGAGGCGTCAAGCCGGAGCTGGCGAAGGTGGCCTTGTTCTCGGTTCCCCTGGTGGGACCGGCCGCGTGGATGCTGGTCCGACCACCTGTCGAGTAACCTGTGATAGCTCTATCCGCGTGCCTACGTACCTCCCTCCGTTTTTGATTATGGCATCCATGGCCGGCC